AGAGCGGTTGAGGGCCTAAAGGAGGGTTGCCAACTTCCAGGTTGGGTCTGGAGTAGTACAGCTGATCCCCAGACTACACGTAATCAGTTCCCCAGGATAAAATGGCAGCTTTGAAAGATGGATTCTGTGGTGTGATGCCTCACCGAGGTCCCTCCCCTCTCCAAACCCCACCAGGCTCCACCCAGAAGTCTCCAGGAATTTCCCAACCGAGAGTTGGCAACCCTAGCCTGCTGGATCAGACCAGTGGTCCATCTAGTCCAGCATCCTGTCTCACACAGTGGCCAACCAGTTCCTCTGGAGGGCCAACAACAGGGCATAGAGGCTGAGGCCTTTCCCTGATAAGAACATCAGAAGAGCCCTGCTGGATCAGAGCAGTGGTCCATCTAGTCCAGCATCCTGTCTCACCCAGTAGCCAGCCAGTTCCTCTGGAGGGCCAACAACAGGGCATAGGGGCTGAGGCCCCTTCCTAATGTTGCCTCCTGGCTCTGGAGTGCAGTGGTTGACCGCCTCTGAATGTGATGGTTCCCTTTAGTCCCCGTGGCTAGCAACCATGCTCCATGAACCTGTCTAATCTCCCTTAAAAGCCATCTATGCCTGAGCCATCGCTTCATCCTCCGGCAGTGAATTTCCATGCTGCAATTCACTCGAATAGCTGATGCAACTTTAGGGCTACCAGCGATGAGCCTTGCGGTATTGAGAACCTCGATGGGTCCGTGTTTCTTGAGTCCCAGCTCTTGTGTTGCGATCCCGCAGGTGGTTTCCCTGTCCGAGTACGACCACGTGGAAGAAGAAGCCAAAGAAAGCGCCAAGAAGTCTCCCTCTCCGGGCTACCCGCTGGTCTGCGTGACCCCGTGCGACCCTCACTTCCCCAAGTACTCTGTCATGAAGGAGCGCTGCAGTGAGGCTGGGATCAACCAGTCCTCCATACAGTTCAGCTGGGAGGTGGCAACCCCCACCGATGGAAACGGAGCCCGGTCCCCCTTTGAAACCATCACAGACAACACGCCGTTCACCAGCGTCAATCACATGGTACGTATGAGGTTCAGAGGTGAGCCAGGCAGGGACAGCAGAGTCACACAGGATAACTTCTGTTGGTCTTCAGGATGCAGAGGGTTGTGCATGCGTAAATATATAAAATGTTCCTTACGTATTAAAAAATTAGCACATTAAGGAGGACAAGTGGAAATAAGCAAGGCTGCATTGTTGTGATATTCGGCTTCCGTGGACTCACAAGCTCCAGGTCTTAGGGATCTGCATTGCTCTGTTGGTGTGCCGGAACTAGATTCAATTCCTGTAGCACCTTAGAGATGACCGAGGTTTTCAGGGTATCAGCTTTGAAGAGTCAAAGCTCCTCCCTTCATCAGATACAAAGTTTTGACTTTCGAAAGCGTATACCTTATCATCTCTCATCATTTACATCTTTTAACATCATTTCCCATCAACAATTACATGTCTGTAAATCAGAAACAAATATACTGGAGCCCTGACCTGGCTTCTGGGTATTCCAGCTATATATGTGTTTGAATAAATCTGCTTTATTTTTGGGTTCTTTGTTAGTTTCTTTTTTAAAAAAAAGCATATACCCTGAAAATCCCATTGGTCTCTAAGATGCTCAACCGGATTCAAATCTTGTTCTGCTGCCGCAGAGCAACACAATTACCGTCTGAAACTTTCTTCTGTTGCACTGTTAAAATTCTAAACTCAATTATTTCTACCCAGGATGTTTTATTGGGCCTTTTATGGTAGATGTGAAGCTGCTTTCTACCGTAAAGTCACAGATCCATCTAGCCCAGCTCTGTCGCAGCTGGCGGTTTCTCTACCAGTTCTCAGGCAACAGAACTTTTCAAGTCCTGCTGTCTGAGGCCAACTTCAGACTGGCAGTTTGAAGCGGGAGGGAGTCGTGGCAAAAAAGAGCCGGAACAAACTGTTCCGGGTTTTCCCGGTCACACTGCACCGACTGATGCGGGAGCATACCCGGGAGGAGGTGCAAGGGAGCGTTCACACTGTTGGCCCGCCCCTGGTGGAGGCGCGGCTGTAAGGCACGGCTTTCTTTTTGTTAATCCGGAGATACGCGCTTATGCGCATAAGCGCACAAGCAAAATCGTGGCTTTTGGCATTCACACTTTGTTGGTGTAGGATGGATGTGGGATAATCGCGCTTTCCAGGGTTTGATACCACTTTCAACTGGTATCTTTTAAACTCGGGAGGGAAACGTCACGAGACGGGTTAAGTACGGTTGGGGAACACCGGACAGGTGCCTGTGTGAACGGCCCCTTTAATCCGTTAGTGGAACGTTTCTGAAACGTGCCTATATCGGGCCAAACTGCCAGTCTGAACTCTGCCTGAGATTCTTCTAACTGGAAATTCCGAGGATTGAATCTGTGGTCTTGAGCATGCAAAGCATACAGTCTTTATAATGAGAATATTCTAACTGGAAATTCCGAGGATTGAATCTGTGGTCTTGAGCATGGCAAAGCATACAGTCTTTATAATGAGGATATTCAATGTGGTTTACAGAGTATATTAAGAAAAAGAAAAAAATCCAATCAAAACATTTAATTGACCCAAAACAGTTTTTAACAATGGCATCACAAAAGGGTAAACACCTTTAAAATAATCAGATATAAAACCAACAGATTAAAAGCTGTAATCCAGAACCGGCATCTGAGCAGGTCTACATTGGCAGATCTTAAGTTATGAAGTTATTTATGGGAGAATCTATCTATTTTTTTTATATGGTTGTTTTGCCTTGACCTGGATGGACCAAACTAACCTGATCTTCTGAGATCTTGGAAGCTATGCAAGCTTGACCCTGGTTAGTGGTTGGATGGGAGACCCGCCCCGCCAAGGAAGCCCAGGGTTGCTACACAGAGGCCGGTGATGGCAAAACCCCTCTGTCCTTCCCTTTGCCTTGAAAACCCTACAGGGTGGCCATAAGTCGGTGGCAGCAACTTGATGGTATTTTCCAGGGCTCTTTTTGTAGAAAAAGCCAAGCAGGAACTCATTAGCATATTAGGCCACACCCCTGACAGCACAGCTATTAGCACATTAGGCCGCACCCCCATGTTACCAGAAGTGTGGTCATCCAGCCACACCCACCTTTTGCTTCTTATTCTGTTTACCTTGTTTGTTGTCAAAACCCAGGGCTTTTTGCATGTTAGGCCACACACCCCTAATTGTAGCCAGTTCTAATGAGTTTCTGCTGTTGGGTGTGGCCTATTATGCTAATGAGTTCCTGCGGGGCATGGCCAACTCGGGAGCCAGCCCGAACTCCGTTCCTGCGCGTTCCCGCCCAAAAATAGCCCTGGACTATTTTCCACCACCGTTGCTGTTTTGAAGGTTTTAATATGATGACGTGTTGTCATGCATGCTAGCAGGTAAAAAGTAAGCATTTCCCCCCCCTGAGCTGAATTGTAATTAAAATGTCAATCAATAACAACCTCATGTAACACACCCACCATTTTCTGTTTCCCCATTATTCCCAGGTGCTGGACAGCATCTATTTCAGCCGGCGATTCCACGTGCGTTGTGTGGCCAAAGCTGTGGATAAGGTCGGCCACGCGGGCACCCCCCTGAGAAGCAACACGGTCACCATAGGGACAGACAGCGCCATCTGTCACACGCCGGTGGTGGCCGGGACAGCCCGGGGGTTCCAGGCACAGTCGTTCATTGCCACTCTGAAGTATCTGGATGTGAAGCACAAGGAACACCCCAACAGGTAGAGAGCGATGGGAGACAGAAGGGGGGGCGGCGGAAGAAAATTGTGCGCGAGTAACATTTGGTTTACAGAAATCCAGGAAGAAAAAGATGAAACACACAACTGGTTGCAGTTAGATTTGAGTCCAGTAGCACCTTAGAGACCAACAAGGTAAGGGAACATTGACTCTCAGAGATTTTATATCCTGAAAACTCTAGTCGGCAGCCCCGTAGCCAGAGATTTTGGGTTAGTTGGGCATGGGGAGATTTTGGGGGGCAGCAGGGGAGGGGTGCCCGCACACCTTCCCTGAACTCCGAGCAGCGGTTTTGCTGCTTGGAGTTCAGGCGTGGGCAGCCCTCACTTGAAGAACACCATTTAAAGCAGGGGTGTCGAACTCATTTGTTATGAGGGCCGGCTCTGACATAATTGAGACCTTGTTGGGCCGGGGCCACGTTTGTCATAAAAGGTAATGCCGGGTAGCGGAGATATAAACTTGATAAAGGACACAAACACAAAGGGTGTAAATTAAATTGTGCTTAAAACATTAGCACTCTTGCAATATTTTGTTTATTTAACAGTGTCTGATAGTAATTGCATCAAAACGTCTGTGCTGTTGCAATCTTGAGTATGCTGTCCAGGTGTGTATCTGTAAGATGCAAACCTACAACGTTATGTAGCAGCAGCAGAACTGAAAAAAAGAAGCAGAAGACAGCCAGTTCTACTGCGGGCCTGATACAAGCCCTCCAGGGGCCTGATTCAGCCCCCGGGCTGCATGTTTGACACCCCTGATTTAAAGGGTTCCCACGCCTGAACTCCAAGCAGTGAAATCGCTGCTTGGAGTTCAGGGAAGGCATAAGGCTGCCCCTCTGCCTTCCTTCCTGCAAGATTTAAAGGGCCCTCCAGCTGATTGGCAGGCCACGTGTTCCCGCCAATCAGCTGGAGGGCCCTTTTAATGTCACGGGAGGGGAGGGAGGGGGGAGAAGGGCAGCAGCTGTTGTGGGGTGTGTCTCACATTTGAGGGGGTGGAGCCCCGAAGTGCCTCACCGTAGCTAAGTGCCTGCTTGTTGGTCTCTCAGGGCTACTGGACTCAAATCTAGCTGTTCTACTGCCGACCAACACGGCTACCCTCTGAAACAACTGGTTGCTTCTTTGGGGTGGATCCCATCGCTCCATTCCTTTAGCAGAAGGCACATCTCTCAGGTGGAAGGAACCTTCCCCAGGACGACAGCACCCCTGCTAGTGGATCGGATCCATGGGATCCAGCTAGGATTGCCGACCGCCTGGTGGGCCCTGCCTGGAAATCTCCTCCAATTGCAACTGATCTCCAGGCCATAGACATCAGTTTTCCTAGAGAACATGGCTGCTCTTTGGCATCACATCCCTGCTGATGGTATCACATCCCTCCCCTCCCAAACCCAGGCTCCATCCTCAAATCTCCAGGAAGAAGGAGGAGGAGGAGAATAGATTGATACCCCGCCCTTCACTTGGAGTCTCAAAGCGGCTTACAAACTCCTTTCCCTTCCTCTCCCCACAACAGAGACCCTGTGAGGTAGGCGGGGCTGAGAGAGCTCTTTCGAGGACTGCTCATGAGAGAACAGCTCTGAGAGAACTATGGCTTGCCCAAGGTCATCCAGCAGCTGCAAGTGGAAGAGTGGGAAATCCTACCCAGTTCTCCCAGATTAGAGTCTGCGCACTTAACCACTACACCAAACTTCCCAACCAGAGCTAGCAACTGTAGATCCAGCCCTTCAAAATATGCCAGAGAGCCTATGCTTTCAAACTTTACTTGCTTTTTTGGAAAGACGAAGACCAAGATATGTAATATTATGTTAGTACATAATACACATTGTTTTATGAAATCCATTGCTCGTTATCAACTTCTGCCTATTAGCTTGGGGAAAAAAACCCAAGTGAGTGCAAAATACTGACATTGTGGGGATTGCAAATTAAATGATCGCTTTCCGAAAACGAAGCTGGCAGATATTTTCGGCAATGAAATCTTGAGGGAAGTATCAGCTTTTAATAATCCAAATGTGGTGTACTAGATGAACAATTAGTTCTGTTGTCTTTGGAAAGAGAAAAGCTGAAAGGAATATGGGGGCTGTAAAGATGTTGTCGCCAGGCGAGCCTCATCCCATCACATCTCAGAAGCTAAGCACCTAGACATGTTTATGTTATGTAATTAATGTATTTGTTTTACATTACTGTACCTGTTGACCTAAATTCTGATCTTGGATCGTAACAATAAACAACTGCAACTACAGAAGCTAAGGAGGGTGAACCCTGGTTAGTACTTGGATGGGAGGCCACCAAGGAGGTTCTCCCCTGAGGCGGAGGACATCTTGTGGGTGATTCCCATCCTTCTCTAGGGAGGCAGGACTAAGTTGAAACTTCTTCCTGTTCCCTTTGGAGGGAGTCACCCTAGCTCAGTTCTTTTCCTGCCTCAGTAGGGAGAGCAGCTTAGGGTTAGCTCTGCTAACATCTTCTACCAAATTACTACCTTCTCCACTTCAAAGTTCCTTCTTTCATTTCTACCTTTTCATTCCTACTTTGTCTCTCCTCTAAACAAAAAAACAAAAAAAAACTCAAACAAACAAAAAAAACCCCTCTCCTTCTCTCTACCCTCCCTGCCTCCCACTGGGCAATAAATTACTAATAGCCCTCATAAAAGGAGGCCCTCAGCTCTGGAGCCTGTTATGGCACACAAGGGAGAGAACGACGGCTTTCTTTCGGCTCCTGAAAGTGAAACCGATGGGCATTCGCATAGCGGCCTCGGCTCCAAAAAGAGAAACGCATCGCCCAGGACGGATCAGGAAGACGGCACCGAGGCTAAGCGCGCCAAAACTACTATGCGCGCCATCAATGAGCCCACGTCGGTGGCGGCGGCCATTTTAACGACCGATAGCCGCATCCATTTACAAGACGGGGATGGCCGACAGTGCCCAAACCCGCAAATTGAGCACCCCGGGTCCTCTACCCATAGCGGGGCCGCACTTGCCTTTACACACTATAACGAGCCTGTGTTGCTGGATGCCGGGATGATGACCTGCAGAAGCGGTAATGTGTTGTTTCAACCACCACC